CCAACTTACCCGAAACGGAGGTGAACTTAACAACTCAAGCATCCCGCCGAAATGAAAGTATACAAAGTCATGTTGTCTTTGGCTCACTTGTCTTTCATTAACTTTACCAAATTGTCATCGTCCGAGAGTAAATCGGAGTGATTGTTGTGAAAACATTCATTTTGTATGAAAGTGTATGATGAAGAGATTCGAAGGAAGATCTTTTATAAGACGTTGACGTTGAAGGAGTCCACGAGATCTCCTCCGTCGTTTCAGGTGAGATCGACCTTCGAATCTCAGCTTCATACACTTTCATACAAGACGAAAGTCCCAACACGAATGCCATCTCCAACTTCTTCATCCAACACTTTTTAATCCGAAACGGAGGTGAAATCATCAATTCAAGCATTCCGCCGAAATGAAAGTATCCAAAGTCAAGTCGTCTTTGGCTCACTTGTCTTTCATTAACTTTACCAAACTTGTGATCGTCATTACGCAATCGGAGTGATGCTGATCATAAAAAAGGTCATCAAGCCTGGAGGACAGTTGATAGATTTCGCGCTCTGCTCCAATTACTTCTACCTTGACCCACACACGTACGCACACAAACATGCCTAACAGCACATGACTGCGGATTGGCACATCACATGAACTGGCGCAATGACTCTTCACAAATGCATTCTTCTAGTGTGAATAAGCAGGATTAACGGAGAAATGAGTGCTTTTTCTCGATGCATTGCAATAATGCTGCCCTGTTCTGGTGTCGTCTGTCAACTGACCGGAAAGGCGTAGGGTCACAACCCTTTTTGCATGGGAACCGAAGTGGATCGCCTCAGCCGGTTCGAGGTAGCATCAAAGAGTGACCGACCAAAAGGAGTCGGACTTCGGTTGCCCATGAGACTCTCCTCATTCTACACTTTTGTAGAAATGCAATCCGTTCTACTCGCACAATGTCATGAAGGACCTACGCCTTCAAAGCCACATTTGCCCGACGACCCTTCGGCAGTCGTGGCGCTGGAAGGGTAGAGGTAGCATGTCGTTGAGCGCTTTTAGCGACACCGGCCGACCGGCCTTGTGATGCCAAGTCTACCGATATTCTCAAAAGTCAACTCATTATGAATACACTTTGGGTACTTTTCACAAATCTAACCACAAGCTCGAAGCTGATTCGTCGAATCGCCTCGAACATTCGAAAAGTTCACCAGAAGCCGATGTTGAGAGTGTATGGCCAGATTGGGTCATGGAAAAAAGGGAATTTGCAAACTCGCTGATAGTCTCAACGACTACTTATGTCGAAAATAAGTAGCTTATTAAAAGGAAATAAGGCAAGTGAGAAAATACAACCACCAGCCTAAAATGTCTAAAGCGGACTTGACCACATATACATTTCATACTGATAGTTTCGAAAGCTGACCTATCGTGAGAAGTCATCAGTTGATGTCCAACGAGAAAGGATCACTTTTGGCATTACTCTGATGTGATGCTTCAACATAGACAAGGTGAAACTTGCATGTGAAGAAATGTTGGGTTTCGAGGAATCTCTTGTTTCATAATTGTTGAGCTTACTTCCATTTCGAGTGAAATTGTTGCGTTA